GCAGTGTCCCTGTAGCATGCTCTTTTTAGGTCTTTAGGGAATAGACCAAGAAGGGGAATAGCTGGGTCAAATGGTGGCTCCATTCCCAGCTTTCCAAGAAATCTCCATACTGCTTTCCAAATTGGCTGCACCAATTTGCAGTCCCACCAGCAATGTACAAGTGTACCCTTTTCCCCACATCCTCGCCAGCACTTGTTGTTTGACTTCATAATGGCTGCCAATCTTACTGGAGTGAGATGGTATCTTAGGGTGGTTTTGATTTGCATTTCTCTGACAGCTAGAGATGGTGAGTATTTTTTCATGTACTTGTTGATTGACTGTATGTCCTCCTCTGAGAAGTGTCTGTTCAGGTCCTTGGTAATTATAAATAATTATAAAGCCTGAAAATTTCAGAAAAGAGAAAATTATCTGCATGATAAATTATAAACATAGAAGACTGGAAAAATTAAATGCACACACAAATATATAATATATGAATAGATCCATACTTCATAAATCAATTAGAAAATTGTTGAACAAAAGAGTAGAGGCAACAGGAAAATCACTCACACAGAAGCTAAATCAAAACTGCTACGCAATAGCACAAACAGAACAAAACAAAACAGTAGGGTAACCAAAGTCCACAACAACTTATTATCTATTTCAAAATAATTAGAAGTGAAGACTTTGAAGATTCCAACACAGAAAAAATGGTAAATGTTCGAGAAGACAGAAATGCTAATTACCCTGATTTGACCAATACACATTGTATTCATGTGTCAAGTTATCATATTCTAACCTTTGAATGAACGAAAATTGTGTCAATTAAAAAATTTTAAAAACAAAATAAAGCAAAACAAAATATCAGCCCTTGTTATGAACTGGAATCTCAGTATTATGCCCCTTATTTAATACCTGCAAGGATATGCAGATATAATGTTTGCCAGAGACAATTTTCATATTAGTTGGTCATGAACGGATGAATTCCAAGGGTGGTAGAGGAAATGTTCTAATTTATTCCATTTAGTTGGCTTTCACTTAATAGAGAATTCTGAGAGTCCAGCAGACCACTGTGGAAGCCCAGGCCCAGCCCAGGCCCAGCCCAGATCTGCCTACACCGACATGGAGTGGTAAAATAGGCTTCACCTTTCTTCCGTCTGTTGATCTGCTGTTTTCTTTATGTATTTATGTTCTCTGATGTTGGGTACATATATATTTATAATTGTTTTATCGTTTTGGTGAATTTACCCTTTTCATGATAATGATACAGATTTTTAGTTAAACTATATTTTTGTTTGACTTCAATATAGCTAGCACTGCTGTCTTTTGGTTCCTATTTGTGTGGAATGCCTTTTTCCATCTGTTCAATTATAAGCAAAATGGAACTAATGAAGGAATTGGTCTCTGGTAGCCTATGGTTGAGTTTTGTTTTTGTTTTTATTTTTTTCCATATTTTTTACTGGTTCATTATGGTTGCATATAATGGTGGGATTTGTTGTTATATATTCATACATGCATACAATATAACAGTAGAATTTGGCCAATATCATTTTGCAGTATTTCCTCTTTCCCTCTCCTCCTGCCTCCTCCTGTCTCTTTCCTCTTCTCTGTCTACTCCATGATCTGCCTTTGCTTTTCATGAGATCCCCACCACCCTCACCACGTTTCTTTACCTTTTTCTTCTCTAGCTTACACATGTGAGAAAAAAACATACGACCCTTGACCTTTGGAGTTTGGCTTATTTTACTTAAAATAGTGATCTCAAGTTTTATCCACTTTTCCTACAAATGACATAATTTCATTTTTCTTTATGGCAAAATAAAACTCCATTGTGTGTATACTACATTCTCTTTATCCATCTACTTGTAGATGGACATCTAGGCTAGTTCCATAGTTTTGCTATTGTGAATTGTGCTGCTATAAACATGGAACTGCTTGTGTAACTGTGTTATGGTGACTTTAATTCTTTAGAATTAAAGGAATGGTATAGCTGATTCGTATGATAGTTCCATGCCTAGTCTTTTGAGGAAGATCCATAATGATTTCCATAGTGGTTTTTAGTATTTTACAATCCCACCAACAATGTAAAAGTTCCTTTTTTCTCCACATTCTTTCCAGCATTTATTGTTTGTGTTCTTGATGACTGCCATTTTGACTGGTGTGAGATGAAATCTCAGTGTAATTTTGATTTGCATTTCCTTAATTGCTAATAATGTTGAACATTTGTTCATATATACATTGGCCATTTGTACTTCTTTTTTTGAGAGTATCTGTTTAATTCCTTTGTCTATTTATTAATTGGGTTATTGGAGGTTTTTGCCATTAAATTTTTGAGTTCTTTATATATTTTTGATATTAATCCTCTGTAGCTAACACAGATTTCATCACATTCTGTGGGTTCTCTCTTCACATTCTCAATTGTTTTCTTTGTATGCAGTAGCTTTTTAATTTGATACCATCTCATTTATTAACTCTTTTTTTAGTATTTATTCTTTATTTTTAGATTGACACATATTTTTATTTTTATGTGGTGCTGATGATTGAACCCAGTGCTTCATGCGTGCTAGGTGAACACTCTACTACTGAACTACCACCCTAGCCCCTAATTTATTAACACTTGAAATTATTTCTTAAACTTTAGAAGTTCAATTGAGAACAACATCACCTGGACCTATATGCTGCAGTGTTGAACACACATTTTCTTCTAGGAGTTGGATAGTTTCTGGTCTTAATTCCTAAGTCTTTGATCCATTTTGAGTTGATTTCTGTGCAGGGTGAGAGATTAGGGTCTATTTTCACTCTTCTACATATGGGTAACCTGTTTTCCCCACAGTATTTGTTAAAAAGGCTATCTTGTCTCCAATTTATGTTTTTGGCACATTTATCAAGGATCACATGACAATAGATATGTGGGCTTGTCTCTTTTATTCTGTACAATTGGTTTATGATTCTGTTTTTATGCCAGTACCATGTAGTTGTTGTTACTATAGCTCTATAGCTTAATTTGAAATCAGGTATTGTGAAGACTCCAGCGTTGCTCTTCTGTTTTCAAATATGTTCAATCACTCAGTTTCTCTTTATTAGAGATTTTAATTCATTTATATTCTAAAAGATTATTGGTAGATAATGCTTACTATTGTGTTTTTTGGTTAGTTTATTGATTCTTTGTTCTTTTATTCCTCTCTGTATTCTTTTGTGATTTGATGATTTCTATCATAGTGTGCTTTCAATCTTTTTATTTTCTGTGTTTCTACTAAAGATTCATACTCTGTAGGTACCAAGAAGTTTATATAAAACACTTTACACTAATGATATTAATAATAGGACATGTTACACTGATAACATCTTTGCTTTGATCACTTGCACACACTTTGCACTTTTACTCCTCCAATTTGCTTTTGTAGCTTATATCTCTTGAAAATAATTTGGATCTTTTAAAAAATGTTTTTAAATCTTTATATTTGAGATGTAATTTTCATACCAACATTTCAGTAGAGTGTTGTGGGTTTGACTATATAATTACTATTACCAGTGAGTTTTATTATTGTCATATATTTTCATATTGCTGCTTATTGGTCATTCCCTTCAGCATGAAGGATTTCTTTTAGCATTTCTTATAAAGTAGATTTGATGGTAAAAAAAAAAAAATCCTTTACGTTTTGTTTATCTGAGAAAGTTTTGATGTCCTCTTAATTTTATTTTACAACAGGATACATATTCTTGGTTAGCAAGTTTGTTCTTTATTCCTTCCTTCCTTTCTTTCTCTCCCCCTTCCTCCTCCTCTTCCTCCTCCTCCTCCTCCCTCTCCTCTCCTCCTCCTCCTCCTTCTTTCTTTCTCCCTCCTTCCCCACACCCCCCCTCAAATATCAAACCCAGGACCTTGTGCATGGTACTCTAATGCCCTACCACAGAGCCACAACCCCTCCTTTAAATTTTTAAAAATGCTATCCTATTTCTTCTGGTCTCTGGATCCTGTTGACGATTTTGTTAATATTATTGTGCATGTTTTCTTATATGTAACAAGTCACTTTTCCCTTGCAGTTTTCAAAATTCTCTCTTTGCCTTTAATTATTTTTTGTCAATTTGATTGTAATGTGTTCTGATGTGGAAGAGGATCGGTGCTTGTCCTTTGCAGTCCACCACCTTTTCACATGGTCATACCAGGACCCATCAACCACTGGAAGAGAGAGGCAGGAACACTGTTAGTTCTCAGTATTGGGGTAAAACCAAGGCAATGGGATGATTTAGACACTTTGAAATAGGTGTCTGTTGTTTTATTAAACTTAGTAAAGGGGAAGGAATTTCCTACTTATGAAATCAGTCCATCTTTATAGTAGGAAGCAGCGATACACTTACTGTATGTGATTTTGCCCACATACATTTATGTATAGGGGTTCATTTTAAATCATTTAGGTGATGAAAGTCTTCACCTATTCCTAATAAAGAGTACTTAGTTTCAGATTCAATTGCCCGCTCAGGCAGTTAAGTCTTAGGGTCTTCTTGTTGCTTGTGCCTTCCAGCTGCCTGGTGGAATCTGCAAATGCATTCTCAGTAAGAGATTTCACTGCTGCAGAAAGAGAGGGCCCTTGAGAACTTCTATTTTCACTTAAGGTAAATAAGGAATAAACATTATTTTCACCAATTTTTAAAGAATTGGATGGATTCCGGAGCTAGCCTGTATTGTATTTTAATTTCATGCCACTGATGTTTTTGTGCATCATGGCATGATGGGTTTGATTCTGGGCACTCATTACAAACACAATAGTAATCTCAACAGTGTTTACTATGTTGTAAGAATTGTATAAAGTGGACAAAGACTTGATTGAAAGATGATTGAAAATATTGTTCAGAAGAGAAAATTCCAAAGACCAAGTAAGCAGGTACATGAAATATTCTCTTCTGAATCATTATGAGCAGAGATATGTGTTTGCAGTTAATCAAAACCCTGGTATGTATCATGCTGACTGATGCATATGTAAGTCAGGGGAGTCCAGAAGCATAAGGCTAATAGGAGAATCAACAGGAGTGTGTGTGTGTGTGTGTGTGTGTGTGTGTGTGTTTCTCACTACCAGGGTAATTGGTTCCTGCAATTGTGTGGCCTGTAAGTTGACATGTAAATCAGTCTGGAAATTCATACAGGATTTGATTTAGTCTTTTTTAAAATTTTTTTAGTTGTGGATGAACACAATACCTTTACTATATTTATTTATTTTTATGTGGTGCTGAGGATCGAATCCAGTGCCTCGCGTGTGCTAGGCAAGTGCTCTACCATGGAGCTTCAATTGCAGGCCCTTGATGTAGTCTTGAAGCTGAACTCTTTATTTTTTGAGAAACTTTAGTTTTTGCAGTTAAGATTTTCAACCGATTGGATGAGGTCCATCCTCATTATTTAGGATAATCTCCTTAAAACCATCTGTAGATGTTAATCACACCTACAAAATTCCCCATAGAGGCAATTGAATTGGTGTTTGATTAAATAACTGGTACTATAGACGAGCTGATACATAAACCTAATTATCACAAGGCAAGACCTGAGAACAATCAAAAGAAGCTTGGTTCTTTTTTTCTTTCCCATGTTTCCTCCTACCTTGACTATTCTAATAAATCATCTGCATAAAAGCATTCATATGTCACTTAATGATGTGGAATAGTCTGAAAAATGTGTTGTTAGATGATTTCACTATTGAGCAAACATCATAGAGGCTATGACATCACTAGGTAGTGTAATCTTTTGTACCACCATATGTGGTTCACCATTGACAGAAACTTTATCATGAGGTACATGACTGGAGTGGAAAATCCATTCACTTTGGAGTACTAGCTAGGTTGATACTTTTTCTTATTTTACTCTTTTTGTCTCTTTTGTTTCTAGAGAAATTGTTCTAACACTGTTTTCTCTATTGATATACTTGAGAGACATGCTTGATGGAATTCGTTTTTATTGATTTTCTAAATTTACGTTTTTTTATCCATATTAGAGTCATTTTTTCCTTTTATTCAAGAGACTATGGTCAGGTTTGGTTATACTGATATCTTGGAGGTAATGCAAAATCTTTTGTATTTGGAAATTTAATTAAATTTAATAAAATAAATGGATTGTCAATAGGGGCTCTGAAGTATTGTTTTGCAGAATTTCTGACAAAGTATTGTTTTTGTCCTTCCTTTCTGTTTATTATTGGACAGAAGAAACTAATCATTGTCAACTGATCCTACTTCCTGCCTGAGTCAATTCTAGTCCCTGACAGATATTTGCTGAGACAATCAGACTGCTAAAGGACCGAGATCTTTCAATATCACAACACAGACACTTCTTTTATATAAGCTTTAAGCATTTGATAGATATTAATTAAATGAAGCAGATGCCATTTTCATTCATTTGTCTATTCTATCGACTGTATCTACAATAAAATACTTAATTGTACTTCTACATCAAAGCTTTTAAAGATGTGTGTAGAAAGTTATCCCATACTAAATCACCCCTTATTACACTTTAGTATCTGGGTTCATCTACATGTTGTTTCCTTGAGATAATCTTATGAAAGTTTTGATATCCTTACTATCCTGAATGGATACTGGTCAATTCTGGCCAACTTCTTTTTTGAGTGCTATGGCCATAAGGGATTCCTTGCCCTAGAGGTGTGATCTCCTGAGCTGAGGATGAAGGATCTCACTGCTGGGTCAAATTGGAAGACTCTGTAGAGCAGATTTCTAAGACTGTACATTCTGATCTAGGGGAAAGGCAGCATATGGTTGTGATTGTGAAGCATATGATTTTTGAGACTGTGCAAGGTGGCCTTCTAATTCAACAACAGTGGCCTTCCCACTGCTCTAGGTCTTTACGTATGAAATAAGTCTCCTCTCTTCCTTATTTTTGAAGTTGATAGTTTGAAACTCAAATCAGGATTTGAGAATTTTTACCTTTGTGTTTATAGGTATACCCTCAGATGACCTTAACTTACATTTGCATACATTTTAGAGAAAAGTTCCTTCTTACTGGCTTCCCCAGTCACAGGTCCCCATGGTAAGACCTGGTCACTCAGGATAATATCCTATACTATTATCCACCAGATTTTAGAGGTGTTTATTTTTAGAATCTCCAGAGAGATAGCACAGCACAAAATAAATTTGCACTCACATTTTCCTGACATGAAATTCTCACAAAATTCTTCCTAGCTCTGAGTGTCAGCTAGCATTGAGGTCATTTTATGAAAGTAGTAGAAAGCTACCAGGCAATCCTTGGCATTTCTAGCCACATAGATGATCTGAAATCAAGTACAGGAAAGGAAACCAGAGGAGAAATACTGTAGGAGAGTATTCCAATACAATAATAATGTCATCTCTTTTTCAGTATGTAGTGTTTTATGCATTATTTATTAGTTAAAATAGTAATAAAATAAACTAAGCCTCTTTGATCCTAAAATTTGGTAGGACATGAAGAAATCCAAAGGCAAATGAGAGCGTCCCATCCTCCAAGGATCATATATCATACAGGAAGATGACCAAAATCTAGGGGGGTATTACAAATAATTGAAATCTGATATGACATACTGAGTAGTCACAGGGGAAGAAGTTAGTAAGGATTCCTGGGGGAGATGGAGTTGAAGTCTTGAGGTCTTAGTCATATCTCAAGGAATTAATAGGAATTTTCCAGCTTTACATTTAGGGAAAAATTGGGGAGTGAGAAAACAGTTTTATATATACCATCTTATTTGATTTCCATATATGTTAAAATTATGTAAAAAGAAAAGGGGAACCATTATTCTTTAATTGATAAAGTAACTGAAATTTAGAGAATCTGAGGGTCTTTCATAGTAATCTGTAGTTAGTACATGATGGGGTCAGTCCTGGAACAGAAAAATTGGGGATGGATCCAAGCAATTCCTTCATTACATATATGCACAGTGACGAGATTCTCAACTGAAGAATGTCTCAGAGAGTTTCTCAAAGTTTAGAGTGGTTTTGCTGATCTATCTATCTAGATATGCTTATGTATACATGCATATTTTCATAGGCAGGTTACACTTGGCTGCTTCTTGGGAATTCAGGCAAATTAGGAAGAGTGGCCTGGTAATGTGATGAGTGGGTATTTATAATCTTTCATTCAACAAATGCATAATAAATGCTATGTTTAAGGTCATGTTCAGAATAAAAATTTGAACAAGACCAAGTTACCTATTCCAAGGAGCTGACAGTCTGTATCAAAGAGGCAATATGGGAAAATGTTAATGCACCATGATGAATACAATGACAGGCACATATGCACACTTAGGTCAATGTATATATGTGGGCAGGACGGGAAGTTTCTAAGCAGATGATATTTATGCAAAGACCTGAAAAGCAAGTAGGGATTAGCTACGTCAAGATGGGAGAGGATGCTTGAGTCTCATGAAAAGCATGATGGGAAGATCCCAGGTATGAGGAAGCATTGTGTGTTAAAGGACCTGAAGGATTTTCAGGATGATTGCTGTGAGAACTGGGAGTGTTGTTGAGGGCTGGTTAGAGATTGGATTGGAGCTGAAGCAAGGCACAGATGACTAAAGGCATAACAAATCATAGAAAAAAACTTGAACTTCATCTCCAGCCAACCTGTGGATGTGTTTAAAGCAGGCAGGTCTCTAAGTTTCTGACGATGTTTAAAGCAAGTCTTAGATTCTCATTTTAGGAAGAGTATGAGCTACGAACATTAGGAGGCTCTGGTGCCCAAATCTAGGGTTTGATTTCTTGACCCATGAACAAGTAGACTTGGGAATGAAATAGCCTGGCTGAAGCCACTGTGGAAGTCCTGTTCAAGGCACAACATATGGCTTTGGTATCTTATGGAGAAGAGGGTTTGTAAGTGTTAAGACAAGAAGCAGCCAGGCAAATTGGGAGACAAAAGAGAACAGTGACTTGGGTATTGGCCAAAGTGATGTTGTATAATGGAAAAATTAGAAAGATACTAAAGAATTGATCAAACTTTACTGGAGATTACACATGGAGGCAAGGGAAGTAAAAATTATACAAGTTTTGAATTTAGTTTACTGTGTGGATTTCGGAGACCTGGAAGCCTTGCTGGGTAGCAGATCTTGCACTTTGCTTCCAAGGGCAGGGGAAATATCCTCTAGTACGTTGGCAGAGCAAAGCAAAAGTCTTTCGTTTTTAAACTTGTTTATCTCTATTCCAGGTTCTCCCTCCAATTTGTAATAATACAGACTCTACTTTGAAACATGTGGCTAAGGAGTTATCATGCAAACTCAGAGGAAATAGAATATTAGAAGCCATGGATGTCTGTAGATTTCAAACATACGAAATACTTGATTTCAAGAAAAATAGCACATTATTTTGAAAGACATCTTCACTTATGTCATTTATATCACCAAGTTAGAAAAAGTTTGAAAACCCCTTTCTTTACCTTGCAGTTCTGTTTCCAGATAGATGGTGGCAATAAATGAGAAGGAAGGTGAGTTTTTAGCATTCGTGGTGAGGGCATTTGAATAGCTATCTCCAAATCTGGAAAAGCAATGAATATTCTCCATTTATTCTTGCCACTCTTGGAAAATCCTTTAATTTACATTTGTATATTATTCTAATGAGTTATTTCATTTTATTTTATTTTTTCACTTAGAGACAATAACTGTATATTCGCAAGGACATGTGAAATATCCCTTCCTAGCCTTCTCCTAAGGCTTTCTTGTTTCATCTCATTCTCTGAACTTTTGCACTTTCAGGAAAGTTTTTTAGCTTGCTTGATTAGTTCTGTGAATGTCCATCATAATCTATTCTCCTCTTTCTTCTCTTCTTTGCTCTTTTTCTTCAGAAATCATCCATATACTTTTACAATAGCTCAATGCTAATTTTCGAGTTTTTCACTGATTTGAGCATAAAAAGTAGAAAGAGAAGGAGGAGGGTATTTGCCAGCAGCTAACTGGGAAGGAGACAGACAAGAAATAGAAAGGATAACTTGTTGAAAAGCTAAAGTTCATCAGCTGAGAACATTAGAGGCTCTGGTGTCCAAATTCAGGGTTTGACTTCTCGACCCAGAACCAAGTTGACCTGGGAACGAAATAGGCTGGCCCAGGCTGCTGTGGAAGTCCTGTTTAAGGCACAGCATGTGACCTTGCTATCTTATAGTCAAAGCTTTTTCAGTCTCGCTACATGTTACTCACCATGCTTCTCTTTATGAGGGTATTTTACTTCAAGGAAGGGGTGTCTTTCCAGAGAAGCAGCTCCCCTGAATTTTGCCACGTCGCCATCATTTCGAATCATGTCTAAAATTTCTTGCATCCAGGTTGTACCTGAAAAACATCAGAAATATTCTCTAATTTTTAGGTAACTGGCTTTTCATCTGAAATAAATGTATATTTTGGAGAAAGGCAGTAACATGAGAATACTTTGAAATTAGATTAATGTTGCAGAGACAGAAAGGAAGCTTTCCTCCCTTCCCTGAGATAGGAGGTGGTCACAAAATCCCCTGTGGTATAATCTAGAGCACTTATTCCAAACTTTTTTATGAAAAATTTTAAACATACAGAAAACTTGGTAAAATAATATTAAAAAAAACATACAAATACTTCAAGTTTTAAAAACATTTTGCTCTGTTGGCTTTGTCTATTTCCATCTATCATCTTTATAATCTGTCTCAAATCAATCAATCACTTACCTATCTGATCTAATCTAATCTATCATCCATCATCCGACAAACTGATCTACTTCAGAGTAAGTCTCTGATAATGCTTCATGTCTAAGGACACAGCATGCATCTCTCAAAATGACATTCTTCTACCATGTTTCCTACATGTTTCTCATCATATCTATTTTACAATGATTCCTTAACATCATTAAGAACACTGTCTTCATTAAATTCTTTCCAGTTACCTCCTAATACCATTTATAGCTTTTTTTCCCAATTAAATTTCATGGGCTACCTTAGTTTTATCTCTCAGTCTCTAATCAACCTCTCATTTCTTCATGATGTAGATTTTTAATCAGTTATCTAGCTATCTTGTAGTTATGCCTTTATAATCCAGAATTGTCTGATCATTTTCTCATAATATGTTTAACCTGTTCCTCACTTCCTTTGGTCTTCTGTAAACTGGAATTTAAGTCTTGATTAGATTAAGTTAAAACATTTTTTGGCGAGAAGACAGGTGATGCTTTATACTTTCTTTCATTATGCCAAGAGGTACCTTATGTCAAATTTGCTCACTCTTAGGATACTACTTTTGATCATTCTGTAAGTATGTGGCCACCAGATATTGCTTGTAAAAATACATATTTTCATTTGCTATTAGAAATTAAATAGTATAGTGACATTTTGGTACCACATGACTAGCCAGATTTCCTCTGATTTTATCTAATCATTATAGAATGCATTGATGATCCTGCCTGAAATACTTTCCATTATGGGTTTCAAATTGTTAATATTCTAATCTTATAATCTCTTCTTCTTTTTTTCCTTATTTATTTATTTATTTTATATTTAATTGATTTTATTTTTTAAGTACATGACAGTGGAATGCATTACAATTCTTATTACAAATATAGAACACAATTTTTCATATCTTTGTATATATAGTATGTTCATGCCAATTCATTACTTTATACATGAACTTTGTTTATTTTTTTTTGCATTACAATTCTTATTACACAAATATACCACAATTTTTCATATCTCTGTTTGTATATAAAGTAGGTTGACACCCAATTTGTGTCTTCATACATGTACTTTGAATAATGATCTCATCATTTCTTCTGTGAAGTAGATCTTATATAAAGAAAAATGAGCCAATACTGTAACTACAGGGAATTTAATTCCATGAGACTAACAATTATAAACCAGGTTAAATGACAATATCTATCATAACAATAATTATTATCAGAGATAAAGATAAATATTTTTATCCATTTCAATTATTTAAACAATCCCAAATATGTATGTTCCGAATAACAGAACTTCCAAATACATAAGACAAAAATTATAAAAAATAAAGAAGTGGAGAAATCCACAATATTAATTAAAATTTTCAACAACTTTCAGTCAGTAATTGATAGGACCAGTAGATAAAAAATCAGTAAGGACATAAAAGATCTTAACAATTTGTCAACCAATGTGAATTAATAACAGTTTCAGAGAACTATACCCACTATCACCAAAATCTGCATTGTTTTCGGTGTACATGAAATATTTTGGGGGGTACCAGGGATTGAACTCAGGGGCACTCCACCACTGAGCCACATCCCCAGCCCTGTTTTGTATTTCATTTAGAGACAGGGTTTCACTGAGTTGCTTAGTGCCTTGCTTTTGCTGAGGCTGGCTTTGAACTCACAATCTACCTCCCCAGCTGCTGGTATTACAGGCATGTGCTACTGAACCCAGTTAAACATTTGTAAAAACAAGGATGATAGGATAGATTCTAAAATGAATCCTCAAATAAATATAAAATGATTGAAATTATACAAAACATGGTTTTTTTTGGCCCTGTAGTTACAGTATTGAGTTACCTGCTTTTTGATATTTGCCTCTCTTCATTTTTAAGCCAATAATCTGCATCAAACTTTTATTATGCTTCATATATTTCTGAATTTTTGATCTATTCCATCTCTCTGACTTTCTCTTCTGTTTGTAAGAGCTGAAGTAATTTCATTAGGCCCACTCAACTAGTCCAAGATAATCACCCTACCTCAAGGTAAGCCAATCAGTAACTTTCATTATAGCTGTGCAAAATCCTTTTGGGAATGAAATATAAAATAACCACAGGTATGATGCCACAGGACTAAGATTATAATGACCAAAATTCTGCCTATCAGGATGTTTGAAACACAAAATTTCACAGTCTTGTGTGATCTTTAGGAATTATTTGGCTTCTTGGTAGTTCCTGGCTTGATCACATGAAATTTGGTCCTGTGCACATGCAATTTAGTATTCACCAGTATCCTCTAGGGCTCCCCTATACAGACATTGGTGGCATTTTTTTTCTATTTCCTTCTCTCTGGCACTCTGCCTTGCAAAGTAGTCATTGCAAACTCCCATAACTCTTATCTTTGGCTCTTGAACTTAGTGACTGGGTTCCTTGACATGACTTCCTTAAATTCCCTGTTACTAAACCAACTTCAGAAGGGTCTTAATACTGAAGAATTGGGCAAATGTTGCCCTGTGAACGTCTAGAGCGTTCGGGTCCCTGGGTAAGGGTCGC